GGGCGTGACCGTGGGCGCGGGCGACGGCGCCGGCGTCGGCCGGAGCGTGGGGGGCGCCGTCGGCGCCGGGGACGGCCGCGGCGTCGGCGCGAAGACCGGCGCGGCCGTCGGCGATCCGGGCGTGACCGTGGGCGCGGGCGACGGCGCCGGCGTCGGCCGGAGCGTGGGGGGCGCCATCGGCGCCGGGGACGGCCGCGGCGTCGGCGCGAAGACCGGCGCGGCCGTCGGCCCTCCGGGCGTGACCGTGGGCGCGGGCGAGGGCGCCGGCGTCGGCCGGAGCGTGGGGGGCGCCGTCGGCGCCGGGGACGGCCGCGGCGTCGGCGCGAAGACCGGCGCGGCCGTCGGCCCTCCGGGCGTGACCGTGGGCGCGGGCGAGGGCGAAGGCGTCGGCCGGAGCGTGGGCGCGGGCGACGGCGCCGGCGTCGGCCGGAGCGTGGGGGGCGCCGTCGGCGCCGGGGACGGCCGCGGCGTCGGCGCGAAGACCGGCGCGGCCGTCGGCCCTCCGGGCGTGACCGTGGGCGCGGGCGAGGGCGCCGGCGTCGGCCGGAGCGTAGGCGCGGGCGACGGCGCCGGCGTCGGCCGGAGCGTGGGGGGCGCCGTCGGCGCCGGGGACGTTGCGCCGGCGCTCGGCGGGACCGACGGCGCGGCGCTCGGCGCGGCGCTCGTCGGTGCGGCGCTCGTCGGCGCCACCGTCGTCGGCGCGGCCGTCGTCGGCGCGGCCGTCGTCGGCGCGGCCGTCGTCGGCGCCGCCGTCGTCGGCGCCGCCGTCGGCGCGGCCGTGTACGACACCTGAAAGTCGTACGAGTCCGCGAGGGAGTCGTCCGCTTCACACGCGACCGTCATCGTGTACGCGTTGACCTCGGCGTCGCCTGAGACGAGATTCATCTGCTGACCGTCGTTATCCGTCGTCACGCTGTCGACGACGGCCCCGTCTGGGTCGGTCACGTAGAGTTCCACCGTGGCGCAGGCGCTCGGATCGCCGCGGTACGTCCAGAGGACCTCGCACTCGACGCCATGAACGCACGTGGACTCGGTGCCGACGCTCTCGATCTCGAGAAAGGAGGCCGTCGGCGTGACCGTGGGCAGGGCGCTCGGCGTCGGCGACGGCGCGCCGGTCGGCGCCGCGCTCGGCGCGGGGGACGGCGAGGCGCTCGGGGACGCGGTGGGCGCGCCGGACGGCGCCGCGCTCGGGGACGCGGTTGGCGCGCCGGACGGCGCCGCGCTCGGGGACGCGGTGGGCGCGCCGGACGGCGCCGAGGACGGCGAGGATGACGGCGCCGAGCTCGGGGACGAGGACGGCGCCGCGCTCGGCGAGGCAGATGGCGCGGCGGACGGCGTCGAGCTCGGGGATGAGGACGGCGCCGCGCTCGGCAGAGCCGACGGCGTCGCGCTGGGCCTGCTCGACGGCGCGGCCGTCGGCGCGGGCGTGAACGACACCTGGAAATCAACGGAGTCGGTCAACGTGGCGTCGTCGTCGCACGTGAGCGTCAGCGTGTACTCGCTCACCGTTGCGTCGCCGGGAACGATGTGCGTCTCTTGGCCGTCGTTGTCCTGAGATTCCGTGAGGATGACGTTGCCGTCCGGGTCGGTGAAGACGGCGGTCAAAGTCGCGCAGGCGCCCGAGTCGCCGCGGTACACCCAGAGAAGCTCGCATTCGACGTCGGCGACGCACGTCGACTCAGTGCCCATACTCGTGATCTCGACGAACGAAGCCGTCGGCAGGGGCGACGGTCCGGCGCTCGGCGAGGCGCTCGGGGACGGCGACGGCGCCGCGGACGGCGGGGTGCTCGGGGACGCCGACGGCGCGGCGGACGGGGGCGTCGACGGCGCCGCGGACGGCAGGGGCGACGGTCCGGCGCTCGGCGAGGCGCTCGGGGACGGCGACGGCGCCGCGGACGGCGGGGTGCTCGGGGACGCCGACGGCGCGGCGGACGGGGGCGTCGACGGCGCCGCGGACGGCAGGGGCGACGGTCCGTAGCTCGGCGAGGCGCTCGGGCACGCCGACGGCGCCGCGGACGGCAGGGGCGACGGTCCGGCGCTCGGCGAGGCGCTCGGGGACGCCGACGGCGCCGCAGACGGGGCCGGCGACGGCGCGGCCGTCGTCGGGTTGGGCGTCGGCGTGATGCAGATGACGCCCGCCTGCTCGCCGTCGCCGCAATTGTGGCTCGACGTACTGGTGCACGCCGCGAGGTAGTTCTCGGAGCCGTAGCAGCCCACGTCGTCGTAGACGAAGTTGCCGTCGTTGTCCGCGGACCCGAAGTAGTTGTTCGTCGTCGCCATGTAGGCCTGGTAGTACGGCCCAAAAACCTGCCGGCAGACGACGTCCGCGTCGGAGAGGTCCCACCCTTCGTCGCAAACGTTGCCCCAGGTGTTCGTCGCCGGGTTGAGCGCGTAGATCGTGCCCGAGTAGGCGTCCGGGCCGTCGAGGAGCTGGATCGTCCCCGAGGTGCAGCAGGCGCCCGCGTAATCCGAGGACCCGCAGTCGTGCGCCGTCGTGCCGGCGCACTGGTAGAGGTACGCCTCGCTGCCCGTGCACGCGAGGTCGTCGTAGCCCACGCCGTAAGCGCCATCGGTGAGCTGCACCGTCGCCTCGTACGCGTACCAGTTCCAGGACCAGCCGCCGTAGGCGTCGCGGCAAAAGACGTGGGCGTCGACGATGTCCCAGTCGTCGTCGCAGACGTTGTACCAGCCCGTCGTGTAGGTGACGACCGTGCCGCAGGTGCTCCCGCTCTGGATGAAGCCGTACTGGCCCGTGTGGGCGACCGGAGACGCCGACGGCGCCGCGGACGGCAGGGGCGACGGTCCGTAGCTCGGCGAGGCGCTCGGGCACGCCGACGGCGCCGCGGACGGCAGGGGCGACGGTCCGGCGCTCGGCGAGGCGCTCGGGCACGCCGACGGCGCCGCGGACGGCAGGGGCGACGGTCCGTAGCTCGGCGAGGCGCTCGGGGACGCCGACGGCGCCGCGGACGGCAGGGGCGACGGTCCGGCGCTCGGCGAGGCGCTCGGGGACGCCGACGGGGCCGCGGACGGCGGGGTGCTCGGGGACGCCGACGGCGCGGCGGACGGGGGCGTCGACGGCGCGGCGGACGGGGGCGTCGACGGCGCGGCGGACGGCGTCGAGCTCGGGGACGCAGACGGCGCCGCGGACGGCGTCGAGCTCGGGGACGCAGACGGCGCCGCGGACGGGGCCGGCGACGGCGCGGCGGACGGCAGGGGCGACGGTCCGTAGCTCGGCGCCGCGGACGGGGCCGGCGACGGCGCGGCGGACGGCGTCGAGCTCGGGGACGCAGACGGCGCCGCGGACGGGGCCGGCGACGGCGCGGCCGTCGAGGGCCGGGGCGTCGGCAGTGGCGTCGGGTTGGGCGTCGGCGTGACGCAGATGACGCCCGCCTGCTCGCCGTTGCCGCAGTTGTGCGTGTGCGTGTACGTGCACGCCGCGAGGTAGTTCTCATAGCCGTAGCAGCCCACGTCGTCGTAGACGAAGTTGCCGTCGTTGGCCGCGGACCCGAAGTAGTTGTTCGCCGTCGCCATGTAGGCCTGGTAGTCCGTCCCGAAGACCTGCCGGCAGACGACGTCCGCGTCGGCGAGGTCCCACGCGTCGTCGCAAACGTTGCCCCAGGTGTTCGTATGCGGGTTGAGCACGTAGATCGTGCCCGAGTAGGCGTCCGGGCCGTCGAGGAGCTGGATCGTCCCCGAGGTGCAGCAGGCGCCCGCGTAATCCGAGGACCCGCAGTCGTGCGCCGTCGTGCCCTTGCACTGGTAGAGGTACGCCTCGCTCCCCGAGCACGCGAGGTCGTCGTAGCCCACGCCGTAAGCGCCATCGGTGAGCTGCACCGTCGTATCGTTCGCGTACCAGTTCCAGGACCCGGAGGGGCTGGCGTAGCCCACGCCGCCGTAGGCGTCGCGGCAAAAGACGTGGGCGTCGACGATGTCCCAGCCGTCGTCGCAGACGTTATACCAGCCCGACGTGTAGGTGACGACCGTACCGCAGGTCGAGCCGTCCTGGATGAAGCCGTACTGGCCCGCGCGGGCGACCGCCGGGAGCAGCAAGAACCACAGTTCAAAAGCGTCCACCATCATCCATCGAACTCGCAGTAAAGGTGAAGAAAATGTCCAAGTATTATTGAAGTACTACTTCAACCTAACATGCCGTTTCTATCCGAGCCCGCGGGGATGAGGCATTATGCCGCCGCCTCGACTTTAGGTCGTCTTATAAAGTATCGATGTAGGACCCGTCGGGTCGGATGATCGTGTAGGGGAAGTAGCGGTCGTTGATGGAGTCGAAGGTGCACGTGGGCTCCGTGACGCGGATGGCCTTCTTCTTCTGGACGATGAAGTTGTAGCGCGTGCGCTGGACCCACCAGAGCTGGTAGTTGTGGCGGGGCTGGTGGAGCTCGAGGTCCGTGGAGCGGAACGCGTAGTTCGTGCGGTTGTCGTTGAACGTGACGAGGTAGTAGATGCTGTCCTCGTCGTACTGGTCCAGGGCCATGTTGACGCAGTCCTCCTTGTCCGTGGGCATGCACGTGATCTTCCCGAGGAGGCCCTGGAAGGAGAAGTGCGTGTCCATGTCGTTCGTCGGGCAGTTGGCGATGTCGTTGACCTCGCAGCGGTGCGCGCAGCCGTCGTTCTCGTACGCGAGGTCGCCCGCGACGGTGCCGCCCTCGCCGTAGGAGCCGGTCCGGTGGGGGTGGGCCGAGCAGCCGGGCCAGTAGAAGCACTTGCCGCCGTAGGTCTTGCCGACGAGGTAGGGGCTGTCGTAGTAGCCCGTCTCGTTGTTGCCGCCGATCTTCGGGCACTCCGTGTTGTAGTAGCGCCGGCCGCCCCAGGCGTCCGTGAAGTTGGAGCACTGGAGCGTGTCCTGGTCCTCCTCGAGCGTCGGGCAGTAGGGGTACTCGGCCGCGGCCTCGTCCTTGGCGAGGTAGTGGTTCAGCGTCGACAGCCGGTTGCTGTAGGGGCCCGCGGTGTCCTCGAGCATGTTCTTCGGGCAGAAGAACGTGCCCGTCTTGAGCTCGTTGTTGTAGCCCGGCGGGCAGCAGCACTCGGGGCTCGACTCCTTGATGTAGACCATGGAGCCGACCTGCGGGGGGGAGGACGGGGTGACGCGAGCATAGACACGAACGTCGACTTGCCGCAGCCGCTCTCGCCCACGGGGCCGACGATCTCGCCCTTCGACGGCGCCGGACCATCGATCTCGACGCGACGGGGTGACCCTTCGACGGCGCCGGACCATCGATCTCGACGCGACGGGGTGACCCTTCGACGGCGCCGGACGATCGAAACAGACAGGGGGGGACGAAACCGATCGACGCGACCGATCGAAGAAAGACGCGCCGGTCCGCGCGCGCATCGTCGACTCCTCGTAGTTGCAGGCGATGCGGTCGACGACCTGGATGCCGTAGGCGAGGTCGATGGTCGTCGTCGTGTAGCCCGTCGTCAGGGCCGTGTCGATGCGCTTCTCGTTGATGACGAAGCTCTCGTCCGGGTTGTAGGGCGACCCGTTCTCGCGGTGGAGCCTGCGGGGGGGTTCGCGCGTCCCGCGCCGGAGCTCCGCGGGCGACGGTCGCCCGCTCGCGGCGCGCCGTCAAAGACTCGGAGAAACGCGCTCGATGAACGTGCCGCAGTGCGGGTGCTGGCTAAAGTCCTCGTTGTTCGGGCTGCCGGGCTCGCCGCAGTTGATGATCATCGCCGTCTGCGTGAAGGCGACCTGGACGCAGTTGGGCCGCTCCGTGCCGTCGACGTCGAAGCAGCTCGCCGACGCGTTGACCGTCGCGTTGTTGTCGCTGCAGTAGGGCTGGATCGGGAACGGCCGCATGCCGAGCCGCGTGCCCTGGCAGTGGCTGAATTCGTTCGTGCGCACGAGCTCGCCGTTGGACTCGAGCCGAAACATGACCTCGCCGTCCTCCGGCGCGCTCTCGCACTCCTCCGCGAGGAAGGTCTCGTCGTCGGCGCGCCGCCGCTCGCTCGCGTCGATCTCCGCGCCCTCCGCGTCGACGAGGTCCACGTTCGCGAGGATCTCCCCGGGAAGCGCCAGAAGCATGTGCGAAAACGCGCTCTGCGGGTCCCGATATCCGTAGTCGACGAGATCGCGCCGCACCCTGGCGTAGGCCGGCGATCCGTACCAGTTCATGCAGCAGTCGTACGGGTTGCCCACGCACGGGTCGACCTGCGAGCGCGCGTAGGTCAGAGGTTCGCGGGCTCCGGACGAGGCGACGCCGGTGTCCGCGATGAGCCCGATGGCGTACTTCATCGCGTGCGGCACCTCGAACATGTACTGGTCCCGGTTGAAGTAGGACCGCGCCGGGTAGAAGTAGTCCTCGACGGCCTCGTTGCTCTTCAGCAGCTCGACGAGAGCGCCGTTGCCGTTCTCGAGCATCTCCGCGTACTGCAAAGTGTCCTCCTCGTACTGCGGCGTCGCGGTGTGGAGCATCGCGAGGAGGGTGAGCGGGACGAGGCGTCGTCTTCGTGGCGGTCCCATCTTGTGCGGCGCGCGCTGCCCCATCACCGGACAGGCGTGCGCCGGCGGAACGAAATAGACTGCAAGCCGCGCATGTATCCGTTCTTCGCCTCCACAATTGGGTGAGGCGCGCGATGGCGCGGCGGGTGGCGCGGTATTAGCGGACCATGGAGGACCTGGACCTCCAGGTCCGCTTCCCGCCGCCCTTCGAGGCGCCCTGCCGGGCGGAGGAGCAGCCGCTCCTCGCGGCTCGGCCGGAGCCGAGCTTCAAGCGCCGGAGAAGACGACAAGAGTTTGGCGTGCTGCTCGTTGCCGTGGGCGCGATCGCGGTCACGGTCGCCGCGCGGCGGGACTCGTCGTCGTCGGATGGGTCGCTGCTCTCGACGCTGACGGGGGCGCTGCAGCGGAGCAGCGGCGGCGGGACCGGCGCGCTCGGCCGCGGCTCCGACGGCGCACTCGGCGGCGCGGACCCGGACTCGCGACGAACGCGACGACGGGTGTACCCCACGCCGGAGCCCAGCGCCGCGCCGTCGGCCGCGAGCGCGGAGCGGGAGCGGTCGCGCCACGCGGTGCACACGCATAGGACACGGCACTACCACGCGGAAGCGGGGTCGTCGTACTCGTACTTGTACGACGACGACGAGACGTACTCCTACGCCTTCGTCGACGACGACGACAGCGCGTCGACGGACGACGACGGCGGCGGCTACTTGGCGACGAGCTACTCCTTCTACTACGACGCGTCGAGCTACGGCAGCTACAGCTTCGACGACGATAGCAGCACGCCCGGGCCGACGATGCTGCCGTGGCCCGCGCCGTCGGGGAGCCCGACGCCCGTTGCGACCGGCGCCTGATATGGTGGAACTGAGCCGACTTCAACGCCGCGGCGGTCCCGGAGGCGACGACGGAGGCCTCGAACGCTGCTCCACAGCGAGCACCGAGCAATCAAAGCCCTGTGCAGTGGTCGAGCCTCCCGAGACGCCCACGAGGGCCGTCGCCGACGGGGCGCGCGCCGGACCGCGCGACCTTGATCTCGTTCGTCTCGTAGGTGCCGAGCTACGACCCGACGCTGCTGCCCTGGCCCGCGCCGACGCCGAGCCCGAGCGTGCCGCCGACGACTTCCAGACCATCTGCGACCCCTTCTTACGCTCCCTCGCCGAGGCCCTCGACCGAAGCGCCGACCGACGGGCCGAGCCTGTTGCCCAGCTCGCGGCCGACGTCGCCGCCGCTGCCCGCGCCGAGCGCCGCGCCGTCGTATGCGCCGTCTTCGGCCCCGACGATGCCGCCGCTGCCGGCGCCCTCGCCAGCTCCGTCGTATCCGCCCTCTTCGGTCCCGACGACCGCGGTACCGAGCTCTCCGCCGTCGCGGATCCCGTACCCGAGCCCCACGACGTCGCCCGAGGCGGCGCCCACGCCGACGCCTTCGTACGGCCCCTCGACGGGCCCGAGCATGATCCCGTCGACGGCCGCGCCATCGACGAGCCCGACGACCTCGGCGCCGAGCCCTTCGCCCTCGGCCGCGCCGTCGTCGACCACTCCGAGCGGCTCTCCCACGATTTTGCCGTATCCGGCGCCAAGCTCGACTCCGTCGTACGATCCGTCGACTTCTCCGACGCTGAATCCTACTCTCCGTCCTACTGAGCTCCCGTCCGTGGGGCCGAGCGGCGACCCGACACGTCTGCCCAGTTTTGAGCCCTCGGCGGCGCCTACGACCAGCTCTCCCAGTCCGGAGCCGTCGACGAGCCCGTCGGCGCCGCCGAGTACCTCGGCGCCGTCCGGCATGCCCACGGTGTTGCCCTACCCGCTCCCGACGTCCATGCCGACCTCTTCGACCCCGTCCTACGAGCCGTCGTCTTCTCCTTCGACCGCGGCGCCTTCTGCGCCGCCGAGTACCGCGGCGCCGTCGTCGTTGCCGTCGGTCGTGCCCTCGCCGAGGCCTACGAGACGACCCACGCGGCTGCCGACGTCCCACCCGTCGGCGACGCCCACGTCGATGCCCTCGACGGCCGCGCCATCGTTCGCGTCGGCGTCGAACCTCTCCCGATCCATCGTTTGCCCCATCGCGATCCCGTCGATTCGTAGGTCTGGCCCCACGGCGCTGCCCGCGCCTTTGCCGACGTACGCGCCCTCGGCGGCGCCGTCGAGCCGCCCGACGTCCATGCCGAGCCCGCGGCCGACGCGACGACCTACGAAGCTCCCGACGAGCGCCCCCACGCAAACGCCCACCGGCACGCCTTCGACGTTCGTGCCCAGCGGCTTCCCGAGCGGGGAACCCACGCCCTGCCCGTCGACGGCGGCGCCATCGTGCGACACGGCGCCGAGAATCCCAGACGACCGCTCGTCACACGTGTTTTGTAGGTCCGGTCCGACGATCCTGCCGCTGCCGCAGCCGACCTACGCTCCGTCATCGGCGCCGTCGCCGAAACCGACGCGCGTGCCGCTGCCCAAGCCGACGGCGACGCCTACAGCCGAGCCGACTCGACGGCCGACGCGGATTCCATCGCCGTCTCCCTCGACGGCGTCGCCCACGACGCTCACGCCGACGAGCGGACCGTCGACGCTTCCCGAGCCCCAGCCCTCGGGCTCGCCATCGTACGTGCCGTCGCCCGCGCCGTCGACGGCCTCACCGTCGTCCGCGCCGAGCGTCCCGCCGACGCCGGAACCCTCGGCGAGGCCCAGCACAGCGATGCCCTCATACGATCCGTCGCCGTGTCCCTCGACCGCCTACCCAGCACGGGGCCGACATTGCTGCCGCTGCCCTCGCCGACCGGACCCCCCTCGTACATGCCAAGTCCGAGCCCCGCCGACGCCATCTTCGATCCCGTCGATGCCGCCGCTGCCGGTCCCGACGGCCCTGCCCGCGCCGAGCCCGTCGGCGACCCCGTCGTACCCACCGAGCTCCGTGCCCAGCACCGCGCATCCTTCTTTGCCGCCGAGCCTGTGTCCGTCGACCACGGTCCCGACCCTGTATCCCCTCGCGAGACCCACCGTGCTCCCGGTCCCCGTGCCCTCGACGTGCCCGACGTACTCGCCCTCGGCGTTGCCGTCGACGTCATCGCCGTCGGCATTGCCGTCGACCTCTGCGCCCGACGGCTCGCCGACGTACTCGCCGTCGACCGCCGCGCCGTCGACCGCCTCGCCGTCTCCGTCACCGTCGACGTGCCCCTCGACGGCGGCGCCTTCGGCTGGGCCAACGCGACTGCCGGTCCCCGCGCCGACGAGCTATTCGCCGTCGAGCTGCCCGTCGACAGCTTCGCCTTCGAGCTGTCCATCGACTGTCTCGCCCGACGCCTCGCCGACGCGCCAGCCTTCGACGACATTCCCGACGCATCCGCCGAGCACGTACAGCCCGACGAAGGTGCCCTCCGTGATCACACCGATGCCGTCCTCGTGGCCCAGTTCGACGCCCTCGTACGCGCCGACCTCTTGGCCATCCAGCCGGCCGTCGTCGCTGCCAAGCCCGTATCCATCTCCGCCGCCGTCGCCGCTGCCGACGTACTGGCCGAGTGGAGCGCCGTCGCCTCGACCGTCTGCAGCGCCGTCTCCGTCCCCGTCGTCTACGCCCTCCGCGGCGCCGTCGACGCCTCCGAGCCCCGCGCCGTCGCCGAGTCCTTCCAGCTCGCCCTCGTCGTTGCCCTCGACATCACCGAGCCCCGCACCGAGCCCCTCGCCGTCAGCGGCACCTTCGGCCGCGCCCAGCGCGTCGCCGACAGCGGGCCCGACTGCGCTGCCGTCGAGCGCGCCCTCGTCGGCGCCCACGGCCTCGCCGTCCTACGCACCCTCGTCGACTCCATCTTTTTACCCGACGTTCAGCCCGTCGCTCACGCCGTCTCTTTATCCGTCGGCGTCCCCATCTTTCGCGCCGTCGGCCGAAGCCGCGGACGACGATGACGACGACGATGACGACGACGACGACGACGACGCGGACGCGTCCACGACCGACGACGACGATGTCGCGACCACGGCAGACGACGACGACGTCGCGACCGCGGCGGACGACGACGACGACGACGACGACGACGACGACGATGCGGTCGACCTCGACGACGACCGACGAGCAGTCGTGGACGATGCGAGCTCGAGCGCGGACGACGACGTCGCGGACGACACGGACGACCTGACGTCGAAAGCGGACGATGACGACGACGACGACGACGATGACGACGACGACAATGATCGACACCATAAACGCGACGACGACGACGACGATGATGATGATGACGACGACGACGACGACGACGACGACGACGACGACGCCAGCGCAGACGACGACGACGACGACGACGACGACGACGACGACGGCACGCACCACAAAAACGTCATCGACGACAAGGGAGCGGCCTCCGACGACGACCAGGGAGCCGTCGACGACATCAGTGGAAAGTCGCCGACGGACGACGACGGAGGCGATCCCGCGGCTACCAAGTCGCGACACCACGCTTCGAGGCGCTTATCGCCTCGGAGATAAAATTTTCGCACGTAGTAGTGTACTACTTAGTAGTAGGAGATGCGGTGTTATAAAAAAACAGAAGGGAAGCAAGCCGGAGGACACTCTCACCGACCCCCCTTCCACCCCTTCCGCGCCGACCGCCAGTCGTCGTCGTCGTCGTCGCTCTCCGAATCATCGCGCTGCGCGTAGACCTCGCCGCGCGTGCCGCGCGCCGCGCCGCGCGCCGCGGGAGGCGCCGCGGGCTTCGACGCGGCCTTGGGCGGCGACGGCGGCGCGAGCGCGGCGAAGCGGTTCGAGGCGTCGACGGGCCCCTTGGCCCTGGGCGGCGGCGACGGCAGCGGCGGCTCGACCGCGGGGGCCTTGCGGACCTTGTGCATGGGCTGCTTCGGCGCCGCGTCCATGAGCGCGAAGAGGTCCGCGAGCTCGTCGCTCACGCCGACGACGCCGTCCTCCTCGTGCTCCGCCTCGATCATGTCGAGGATCTTGTCCAGGCCCGCGGGGTCGTAGGTGCACGACGCGCCGTCGGCGGGCATCATCGCCGCGGCGGCCTTGGACAGCTCCTCGGCCTCGACGCGCTTCGACTCGCGGCTCACGAAGCGCTGCGGCGCCGGCGCGGCGGGGGCGAGGTCCCGGAGGGGGTCGACGCCTACCAAGCATGACGGTGACGATATCTCATCGTTTTCCCGGTCAAAAGCTCTCGGTAACGATTCGTTTCCCCACCCGAAATCTCAATCGTCTCGGCCACAGGACGCTGGTCGACGCCCTCGGCGTCCGGGCTGTCCTCGTCGAAGCGGCGGCGGAGCGCCTCGCGCTGCGCGGCGAGCTCGCGCAGCTCGTCGCGCTCCTTCTTCTTCGCGTCGAGGCGCTCGAGGCGCTCGCGCTCCTCCGCGCGCTGCTTCTCGAAGGCCTCGAGCACGTCCGACGGCACGGACGACGACGCGTCGCCGTCGCCGCCGCCGAGGGACGCGAGCACGCGGTCGAAGATCGCCTCCTTCTTCGCAAAGTTCTCCAGGTCCCTGAGCCGCTGCGCCTCGAAGAAGGCGTCGGGGTCCCAGGACGCGGGCGCCGCCGGCGTCGCCGGCGCGTCGACGGGCGCCGCCGCTTTCGGCGGCGGCGCCCGGGGCACGAGGCCGTGGCGCGCGCGCATCGCGGCGACGTCGAGCACCTTCAGGCCCGCGTCGTCGTCGTCGTCGTCCGCCGCCGCGGCGGCGGCCGCGGGCTTCTTCACGGCGCGGACGACGGGCTGGGCCGGCGCCTTGGGCTTCGGCGCCCCGGCCTCGTCGCCGAACTCCTGGCGCGCGAGCTCCATGCGCAGCTCCTTGGCCGTCGCGCCGACCTCCTTCGCGGCGGCGTCGAAGTTGTACTTGTGCCGGCGCACGAGCGCCTGCACGTCCTTGGCCCAGTCCGCGGGCATGATGTTCGTCGCGCTGCTGCCCTTCTCCGGCGAGAGCGGCATGGAAGGACGGTTGGCCAGACCGCGGGGTTTTGATCGTGGATGCGAGGCTGCCCCAAAGTCAAGGTGCTCGCCAACGAGCTAAAGCTGCCACAAACCTCGGGAGCCGCTCACTCGCCTCTGGAGCGCCAGCCTGGACGCGTAAAACAGCGCCGCTACACGCAACGATGGTCGTCATCCACGTCAAGTTCGGCCAGGAGGACGAGTTCCTCTACGAGACGACGTGCGCGACGTCCAACGACGAGCTCATCCGCGGCC